TTGGATAATGAATTAGGGTGCCCATTAGTCCCTGGGGAAGATTAATTCTCCCTCTGTCAGCAGTTACCAATTGCCTGTAGCTCTTCATCTAGGGGTGGGGTCCTAAACCTAGGTGGGTTGTTAACTGGGGTTAGCATCATGTAGGTCTTGTTTAGGTGGCCACATTGTTGAGACTTCATAGGTGGAGCTTCCCTGTCCTATCTAGAAGACACACACAACAGACTTCCTGGCTTCTGGCTTTTAGAATCTTTCCACCCCCTCTTCCACAATGTTCCCAGAACCTTAAGTGTAGGGATGGTGTTACAGATGTATTGATTGGGACTGGGCTCCCGATAGTCAGTTCTCTGCATTTTGATCAGTGATGCCTTTCTGTTATGGACTCTGTCTGCTGCAAAAAGAATCTTCTTTGATGAGGGGTAAGAGCCACGTGTATTTCCTATATTTTTTTTTAATCAGGAAGATTGCTGCATCCTTCAGCTGGTAGAAGTTTGAGTGGGTTCCCTTCTTGGTTTGGAGGCTAGAACAATTCACAAGCATCGAGGCCACTTCATCTCCTGTTAGGACATGCCATGGGTTGAGTTCCCAGTTCTCAATATGACCCCATGTTCCAAAGTCTTTCTACAATGGGATCTATGGTCTCTTTAGGGGTTATAAGACGGGGGGGGGGGGGGGGGGGGCATTAAAACCCTATGATTTTTTTATGGTAACAGAAGCAAACTATTTCTCATCAACCATTTCTTTGCCTTTTGTCCAGTATGTATACAAAGGAAGAGAAAAGGCGTGATTCTTTTTCTTTACCAATTGCCAGAAGAATTATTATTGATTAGATCTTTGCTTCTAGGACTCTGAGGATATAGTTAAGACCATTCAACTTTGACTTCTTGGGTTTGTGTTTGTGACTCTTCCTTTATGCCGAAAATCATGGTTCCTAATGACATTTTTTTGAGACAGGATCTCATTGTCATTAACTGAAGTCATTAGCTGAAGATGACGTTGAACTTCTCACCTTCCTGTCTCCAACATCCAAGGGCTGGGATTACAGGTGACTTACAAGGGCTTGACCATGGTGACAGTTTTATGCATTCTTGGGAATTGAACCCAGGGCTTCTTGTATGCTAGGCAATAACTCTACTACCAATTAGCTATATTCCAAGCCCCAATGACATTAACATAATTATATCCACTTTGTGTATGCCCACGCACACACATGCAAGAATACATTTGAGTGTCTGCCTGTATTTAGCTTCAGATAATAACTGATGGGGTAGGGGTGGCCTTGGATTTAATCACCAGCACCAATAATAAAATCGAATGGGATCCCACCCCTAGACAAAGAACCACTGACACCTACTGACTTCTGAGAGAGAGAAAATTAGCCTTTTCCCGGGATGAGTTCTCTAATATACAGTGGTCATCTCTGAAATCATATGCAAGCCACACTAAATGAACTTATCAGATTGTATTTAAATTTCTTGCATATGTGTAACAATAATAATAATAATAATAAAGAGACCATCAATTAGGGGGAGGAGACATGAGAAGAATTGGAGGGAGAACAGGAAAGGTGGAGAGAAGGGATCTAATTATATTTTAACTTATAATTTTTCAATAAAAAATGTAATTATTGAAGCCAGCCTGTTCTACATAAGAGTTCCAGGCTAGCCAGGGCTACAAAGTAAGACCCTGTCTCAATAACAACAACAATAATTAATGGTAAGTGATAATAGTTTATATTTATATTTATTATGTATTTACTATTATATATTATATAAATATAAAATAGTGTATATAATATTTTCCCACTGAGGAGGAGGTATAGCCACTTTCCCTGGTATTAAGTAACTCGTGGTTTCTCTCTGTAGGTTATACCAGCAACTTGATATATGATTACATTGGTTTGTTGCATTTTATTGCCATTTTATTTTATTGTGTGCTATGGTTATGTAAAGCCTTCATATAGCAGTTCTGCTATCATAGAGGCCTCTAGACGTAATCCCTCTAGCAGCATGGTGCCAGCACATTTAAGACAGTTCTGAATGCTGACTTTTCTAGTTTGGATTGTTCTGTTTTCTGGTGGGGCTAGGCAGGGAGACAACCAAGAGCACATTAAGGACTGTGGAGCACAGAATAAGTCCTGAGTGAGTGTTGATTGTTGACACGAATGCAGCCATGTTCAGGATTCCATGCCTTGGACCTGCGGGTGTGGCAAAGCCTTCCCCAGATGAGGCTCAGAGGGACGACAAAGCTTTTCTCTGGCAGAAGTGCAAGTGTTGCCAGATGTATACAGAAGCTGTCAACCACAGCTTCCTCCTCCTGGCTGACTGTAGCCTAAGACAGCTCCCCTAAGAGACCTCCTATTCATCTCTGTACCATAAGCCCTATTCCTTATTCATCTGTGTACCATATCCCCACTGCTTTGATTCAGATGTATAAAGTAAACACACTGAGGTTCCAGGTTGCTGTTACAGCTGCTGACCTCCATCAAAATGAGAAAACCTACCAGATCCCAGCTTTTCTGTATGTGTAACTGTCTTTCCCCCATTCCCTCATCACCCCAGTTAGGTCAATTCCCAGAGCTGTACATGGCGCGGCAAAGGATCATGTGTTGCCTAAAATTCAGTTTAAGAACTTCAAGGAAATCTGCAAAGAAAAAGTCAACAACAGAAACATACAGGATCTCTAAATGGCCATAGAAACCCACCATAAACTGGAGAGGGCTGGGAGATGGATTAGAAAGCAAAGTCCCTTGTTTCCAATTTCATCCAAGATGAAGGAGCCCTCCTTCCTCAAGACTTTCTCTTCCTTGGGTTCCTGCCTTGGGCAATTCTTTCTTCCTCTCCCTGACCTCCCTTACATAGACCAGTTCCCTTTGTGAATGTTTTAGCACATATAGTATTACTGTAGCCCACAGCTAACCACAATTACAATCTGTTCCCACTTGCTATAGTGTCACAAAGCACCTCTCCCTTTCAGTTTCTGCGCATGTGTGCGCCTGCCTGCGTATGGGTGTGTGTGTGTGTGTGTGTGTGTGTGTGTGTGTGTGTGTGTGTGTGTGTGTGTGTGTACATCAAAGGACAAACAACTGGAATCAGTGCTCTCCTTCCACATGTACCTAGGGATTGAATTTATGTCCTCAGACTTGGTGGCAAGTGTCTTCACCTGTTGAGCCATCTCCATGGCCTTGGCTTTGTAATTTTTGCAAAGAAAAGAGTAACAAACATGCTACAGTTCTTAAAACACTAGTCCCCTTGTTTCTCCAGGATAGTTTCTCTAAGGCATTAACCTTGGTAATGACAAATTTCTTATTGGAAGATATTTTTTGATAATACAAAGGTCTTGTTTCTCATTTTTTCAGCCATTAGTTTTAGCATCTATTGATAATTCTTACCTGCAATGGTGACTACATCTTTACCATGTGATGATTCCCACCATCTCAGTCTGTGTATATTTGTGTGTGTACACACATGTGGAGGTCAGAGGTTGATGTCGTGTCTTCCTCAATTACTCTTCTTTTTTTTTGAGGCAGGGTCTCTTACTTATCCCAGAGATTACCACTCAGCTAGACTGACTGACCAGCGAATGCCAGGGAGCCTCCTGTCTCTGCTTCTCCAGCTCCAGGATTCCCAGCCCCAGAGGCTCTCTGCCCCCCTATTTCCAGCATTTCTTTTACAATGATGAACTGGAATTCCATTGGAAGGAAATGTTGCTCCCTTCTCTTACTTAGTTATGTATTTGTGAAGGATTCGTGGCTTTTTCTTTCCCATGGGTTATAATGTACCACGATCAGCACACATCTCATCCTTTATCCTCTGCGGATGACAGAACAGGACAGAGCAGATGACCAAGATGTCAGTTCAAGGAAGAGGGGAGAAATCAGTCAAAGCACGAGGGACCTTGTAAGAACCTTAGGCACTTTCTCCTTCCATGCTGCATTGACCAGGGGGATCATAAATTCAAATATTACAGTACCTTTTATCCTGGGTTCCTGAGGGACCTCATGGAAATGGTACCTGGCATTTGAGTGGAAAAGTCAACCTCTGTTTCTCTGATCCAATGATAATTTGAAGTTAACTTGTCAGTCAGCATAAAGTCCTACACTGTGGCTAATACAGTCCAAACTTTGAGAAATCATCTGCACATTTCCCTTGTTCTCTTAAAGTCGTGTGTCCTAATCTTTCTGGTGTTTGGGTAACAATGACAAACAGGAGATACGGGAATCTGCCCTTTCCCAAGCATAACAGACAAGAACAACTGCTTGTCTAAAACTCAGTCCCCCATGAAAAGAAGCAAGCTAACAGAAAGTCAAAGAACAAACAAGTGCTAAGGCTGCAGTCTTATACTTCTATGGTCAATTATTAATAGTTGCTTTCATTTATTTATTTTTATTTTTGAGACAGTCTCGTTAAGTAGCTCAGACTTGCCTTGAACTAAGTAGCCAGCCTGACCTCCAACTGTAGGTATCATCTTACCCCAGCCTCGCTAGAGAAGGAATGACAGGCATGTGCCACCACACCCAGCAACATCCAACATTTAACTGTTAAATCTGTTTTTGTTATTCTCACCCAAGTCAACAAGGGCAACATTTTGCAAGGCTGTGTGATCTTTTAAAAGACAAATTAGTGGCAGAACCGTTTCTAGAAACCAGATGGTCAGTCTTTCAGGCTCTGACACCATGACTTTTCTGTGTACTGGGACAGGCTGTAAAGGGGCTGGGCAAACAACAGGACCCGCCTTCGCCCCTTTTTCGCTGGCTTGTGATGCAGAGTGCAAGAGAAAGGCCAGGCCTCCTGAACCCCCACTTTCCCACGCAGGCGCCCTGGGGTTCCCTCCTCCTCACCCGCTAGCCGCATGGTGACGGAAGGCGCCCACACCCCACCCCTTTTTTGGTTAATTCTTTAATGGGCGATCACAGGTTCCTTAGATGGGCGGAGTCTGCGCCGGCAGCCATTCTAATTGGCCCGCAGACTGGCGCGGCGTGTGATGTCGTTGCGACTCCGTCACTGCGTTTAGGGCGTGGTCTCGGCTCCGGGCGCCTCAAGGAGACTTGGGGACGCCCGAACCACTCCTTTTGAGTGCCCGGGTGCCGCGGCCACCGCGTGGGTCTGCTGCGCTCCATGAGGAAGATGCTCGCCGCTGTGTCCCGCGTGTTGGCAGGCGCTGCGCAGAAGCCGGTGAGGCCGCCTGATCCCGTGAGGCTGGGGTGGGGCTGGAGCCGGCCCGAGGCGGGGCGGGAGGAGGGCGGGCGGGACCCTCGGAGCGCGCGGCCGGGTGCCGGGGACGAGCTTCGGAGCTCGCGTGGGCCCCCTGTGCGGTGCATGTCGCCACGGCCCGGGGAGGAGCGGCTTGAGAACGGGCCCGCTCCGCCGCGCCTCCCCCAATGCCCGCTGGCAGAGCTTCTCGCCGGTTCCCCAGCAGCGCCCCAGAACCGCCGGTTGCTTAAGGGACACCGGGAGGCGGAGCTTGGGTTTTCTCCAGCCTCCGTCGACACCGCTGACTTGTACTCTCCTTGTAATAAATAGCTCTTGGCTAAGCAGCCACGTAAGATGAAATAAAGAGCTGGTAGTCCCGGGAGTCGGAGGTTCCGTGCACACCCCGACTAAATCATTTACTAGTCTTGAGTCCTTACCAAGTACCAACAAGAAGCAAAGAGTTTCTGTTTTGTTTTTTTTTTTTAATCGTCCCAGGGCCCAGTTTCCTCATCTCTATAATGGAGATACTAAGAACGCTACCTCATGGGATTATCTTGAGTCGGGGAGTTGGCACGTGTGCCAACCATTTCTGCCTGGCACCTGGCATGTACGGGTGCCCAGCTGGGTGAGCGTTTGTGGATCACCAGTGCTTGGTTCTAAGTAGGGTTCAGACGGGGTCAGGCTCACGGAAAACGAATTTCCTCCACTCCCTGCTCATCTGAGCTTGTTTTTGGCAGTCAATTTTAGAGCAATCGGGCATAACCCAGAGGAAGCCGCCTTTACCCTTAAACACACAGAGGCTTAGAGTTCAAAGTAGCGAAGGAAAACAGCAATGGTTTTCGGAGGGTAGGGATTAGAGGTTAAGACTTAACTTATGGCCCCGGCTTTAAAAGGTGTCTAACACCTAAGTTTTTAGCATTTTGACCTCTAGCCATACAGAGGTTGCGTTTTCTTGGTGTAACTGCCACCAGGCTTTGACTTGTAATTCTGGTTCTATTGATTTCTTCAGGATTTGATGCAATTCTGCCTAATTTAGGGAGGTTGTGGAAAGGTTGAAAGTGTACTTCTCTAGGAATTCCATTAAGTAATGGAAAAACACCGTTTGATTGAGTAAATGCTGTATTCGTGTTTGAATCGGTAGTAAAGCATACTTCTTAATATGTCTTTGCATATGTGTATGACATTTATTGAGTTCTTAGTATATGCCCTGAATTCGGCCAGAATCTTCACAGGTGTTAAAACTTTATTATTAATTTTTAATTGGTTTGAGAACGAGTTTCCTGTGTGTGTGTAGAAATCGTTAGTTGAAATTTGTTTGTAGCATGGACCCTGGACATGAAATAAAGTTGAAAACTAAAAGAAGCTTTGTTCCCCATAGTTCTTACTAAATCAAAGTTTCAAGAAATTGAATTAGAATCTGAAATCAGTACAAAATCCTACCTTCCATTTTTAAGACACGTGCTCCTATTTTGGAGGCAATAAGAGGCTGAGAACACCCTTAAATCATTGTTAGAAGCTATACACTAACCTTAGGTGTATTGCTTTGTCTGAAAGTCTAGTTTACCATTTCCTTTATTAACCTTACAGGAGAAAAAAATTGAATTCTAGAGTTGAATTCACCATAGAAAGAACCTAGTTATTTTCTCACTTGGTGGTGGTATGGTGTAAACTCTCCAGTAGCTGGCTTTTTAATTTTTTTTTTGAGACAAGGTCTTTCACTATGTATCCCAGGCTGGCCTGAAACTCAGATCTGCTTACCTTCTCTACCTCCTGACTGCTTGCATTAAAATCTTATGTCACCACATCCGGCATGCTAAGGGGGGGGGGAGCGGGGGACGAGCTTGACCTGTCTGTGTCTCTGTGTCTCTGTCTCTTTCTGTAAGGGGCTCATTGTAGCTCTGGCTGGCCTCCAGTCACAGAGATCTGTCTGTCTTTGCCTTCTGCTTGCTAGGATCAAAGGTGTCCACCACCATGCCTGGCTGTTAGTTTTCTTTGTGACTAAACTTGTTACATGCTAATTAGCAACCATTCCTGAAGTCTTTCAGAATGTTGAACAGAGTTTCACCTCAGAGTAGACCATTAAACTCTAATGTATCTTTTTTATGGTTTTCAATTCTAAGTAATTGCAGATTTCTTTTTTATTTCAGCCTATGTAACACAAAATAGCTCGATTTTTGGTTTCTCATATTACACATGTGAGAAGACGTTAAGCCTTGCAAAAAGATCCTTCCTTGCAAAGAGTAAGCAGTGGCTAGTTAAACTTGTATAACTAGAGCTGCAGTGGCCAAAGGATACTCAGGGGAGGGAAGAAGGATTAGGCATTTGCTTTTTGATAGCTGAGATACTATGCCTAAAGTTAATCCCCTATCCTCCTCTGAGGTCTCTGCCTGCTTTGTACCTTTCCACCCTTTTTAAATTATTTCTGCCCTTAAAATTAGGAAAGTGTGGGTTTTTCTTTTCTTGAATAAGTTGTTGAAGGTCTCCGAGGAGTTTCATGAGGGGCTGAAGTGTAGCTCAGAGATGGAACATGCACACACACAGCATATGCAAGGTCCTGCATTCAATCTCCAGCACCCCATACTCCTCCCCCACCCCCCACCCCCGCCCCAAGAAAACCCAACAGGAATCCCATTTAAAAGAATTCTTTTTGGTTGGTTTTTTGTATTTCTTCCTCACAGGATTTCTTTGTGTAGCCTGGCTGTCCTAGAACTCAAACCAGGCTGGCCTCGAACTCAGATCCGCCTGCCTCTGCTTCTTGAGTGCTGGGATTAAAGGCGCGTGTCACCATGCCTGGCTCTATAAACTTTATCTTTGAGAAAGAACTTATTTTTGCTACCAATGCCTGGCTGTTTTGTGAATGAAAAAAATAAAAAGGAAAGGCCATGACTGCTGCTAGGTATGGTGGAGGAGAAAGTTTATTGTAGACATGAGGGAGAGCATAGTCAGAGGCAGGGACATCTGGGAGAGTCCAGAGTGGACATGACCAGACTGAGCAGGGCCATGTGGGGAGAGGGAGAGGGGGAAGGAAAGGGAAAGAGGGAAACCAGGTGCAGCAGCCAGGAGGCAAAGGTCCAAAAAGGGTGAGTAATCACAATGTCTGGATTATGTAGGGAAGAGCCCCGGGCTGGAGAGAGAGTTCTGGGTAGAGGGCTGAGGACTGAGGGGTGCTGGGAGAACCTGGCAGGCAGGTCCAGCTTGAGAGAGTTCTGGGTAGAGGGCTGAGGACTGAGGGGTGCTGGGAGAACCTGGCCGGCAGGTCCAGCTTTGATATGTTAATCGGTACCTCAGCGGTTGGCGGCGGCGGGGTGTTGAAACTTAAGCTTAGTCCCTGCCTTAGATCTTCCTTTCCCAAACTAGTTTCAGTAGTTGTATCTAGAAACTTACTTTGCAAGAGAATAGCTATTTCTGGCTCTACAAAATAATTTTAACTGCCAGGAAAAGAGCACAACCATTTGTTTGCTGCTTGGCTGGTCTCAGGGTTAGTTTTTTCTACGTTTTTCTTCATTTTAAGATAGCTATGTTTACATGTCCTCTCGACCTCTGATTTAACTGAAGCATCCCTTACTGGTATTTAGTTTGATTTCCCATTACCTTTTTGGCTTTATCAGATAACAATAGAGCAGTCAGCATATTGTGCCCCTCTCCACCTTGGGTCCATGGCTTTGCAAATTTCCCTGGTTTCAGTTACCTGTTGTCAGATGTGGTCTGAATATACTCCCAGAAAAGTCTCAGAAAGAAAGAACTGATGAGTTTTAATCTGTGTGCTATTCGGACTGGAATGACACAATCTTATACTGTCCAGATTAGGATGGAAATCATCCCTTTGGCCAGGTGTCCACACTGTCTACTCCACCCACCCAGTTGTTCCTCACCAGGAGTCATCCTTGGTTATCATCAGATCGGCCACCTTGGTGTCACAGTCCTTGCACGTGGAATGAAGTGTTAGCAATGGTTTGAGGCCTCTACCAAGGGCCCAAGACTATACCCCGTGCATAGATAATAGAGGCTACTGCATGCCTGTAATTCCAGCATTGGGAGGTGGGGGCAATGGAAAAGAGCGCGAGAGAAAGATAAGTCGATCTTAACTCTCCCTGTTGGCTCATACACTTGGAGGTATAGCTCTCCTGCTGACCTTAATTCCTCACCAAGGTCAAGTCCAGTGCTGCAAAGTATATTGGGTTACAGATTAAACATGCCTTTTTATGAGATCTGATAAATAGGCTTCACGCCTCCAGGAAAAGAAATGATGCTAGTTTACAAAGTATGTGGAAATGTGGCAGAACATGGCTAGAGCAGAATAATTGTGTTTTTGTGGAATAGCACATAGAATGTTTTTGTTGTACTCGGGTTTGTTCAGTTGTGAGGGTAGAAAGGAATCAGTAACTCTAAGTAGTAATAGCCACTCAAACCAGTAAGGGGAATACTGTTTTAAGAGAACATTCTTCGGTTATGGGGCTTCAAGAGGAGCCTTCTCAAGATTTAGACTGCTCCTGTTATAGAATGGCTGGCCCAAGTCCATTGCTTTTAACAAGCATCAACATGACTAAGTTTTTTTTTTTTTCCTTCATGGGTATATGTCATAGAAAAGTGGCTTGCCTTAAATAGGGATTAAAAGATAGTTTTATTTGAAGTATTTTCAAATAAACCTTAAAAAGCCCACACATAGTCGAGTTTCTTCAATTTGACTCTTAATTGTTGGTCTCGCTGCTTTGAAAACAGTGGAAAGTGGATAGGTTTGGCACTTGGCCACCTTCCTTTCTGCTTTCAGATAGTGATACAGCTGCATTTAAAATCCATGGTTTAAGCATGGACTCATGCTAGTAATGACTCTGGACAGTAAAAAACAAAAGTAATGACTTTATTTGCATATTTTTGTTTTCTAGGCAAGCAGAGTGCTAGTAGCTTCCCGTAATTTTGCAAATGATGCTACATTTGAGATTAAGGTAAGAGGTGTTTCACTTTGTTTCTAGTTTCTTCACAGGTACAGTCCGATACAGTTTCACCTTCAAGGGGTATTCTGATACTGGTGCTTTGAAAGTGGGGTCACTTTCTTTAGAATATTCTAGAATCAAGGGTTCAGAGAAGTTTAGCAAGAATAACTTGCTGGTAGTTTAAGGGAGACAGGCTTTAAAAATCTTCTCTGGCAGGGTTGTCCAACCTCTTGACTTTGTGATATAGCATCTACATATATGTTGGGTTGACCCGATAGCTATCCTGGCACATGGTCCTTCTTGAGCCAAAAGTTGGCTGTACCTCTGGTATGGGGTGGGATTCAGTGAAACGGTTGAGGACGACAAATTTAAGGAATCAGAAGCATTTTGAAGCAGCACTGTTTTTGTTTTGTTTTAAAGGCAGAGTTTCTTAGTCTGGGTTAGTCTCAAACTCTATCTAGCAAAGGATAACCTTGAACTCTTGCTCCTCCTGCCCTCAGGTGAGGGGATCAAGGCGCTTTATCACACATTATTCTTGAAGCACTGCTGAGGCGTGCGTTTCTTCACTGTTGTTCAAGTTGTGTTTTATTAGTGTGCAGTTGGATCTTAGAATGAGTCGGCAGTATTTGTGGAATAGTAACCGGAGGATGACCACCTTCCCGTTTCAGAAATGTGACCTTCATCGGCTGGAAGAGGGCCCTCCAGTCACCACAGTGCTCACCAGAGAGGACGGACTCAAGTACTACAGGATGATGCAGACTGTGCGGCGAATGGAGCTAAAGGCAGATCAGCTGTATAAACAGAAGATTATTCGTGGTTTCTGTCACTTGTGTGACGGTCAGGTAAGTGGCAGGTTTGTTAAAGCCATGCATGTCATTAGGAATCTTACAGAGGGTTTCTTTCTGTATGCCTTCTTTCCCCTGCCATCTTTTACTTCCCCTTAAACCTAGACTTTTACATTTTAAAAACCACCATTTATTGACTTGTTTTGTTGTGTGTGGGTATGTATGTGCCACCCTGTGTGTATGTGTGGGGGTAAGAGGATTTGGGGTAAGAGCCTGCGGGATTTGGTTCTTCCCTTCTACCGTAGGGGTTCTGGGGATTGAACTCAGGCTGTCTGTCCGGCTTAGCAGACCCATTCACTCCCTGAGTTCCCTCTGTGTGTCTGCCCTCCCACTGTTCAAGCTGGCTTGGAACTCCTGCAACTTGACAATGGTGCTTCGTCCCCCAGAGTGCTGGGCTTGTAGGCATGCGCTACCACACTTAGCTTTAAATATGGTTTCTGTTTATTGGTTTCCACCCTGCTTCTTGGGTCAGAAGGATTTGTAGTAGGGATTTCAGAATAAAAACTAGAATGCTAGGACCCACTATGAATTGTAGGCATAAGAATTCATTCACACCTAGTATTTCTGAATCTTCTATCTGTTCTTAGAATTTTATAGTTTTAAAATTCGCTGGAAGCCCACTCATCTATACTGTGTGCATTTGTGGGTAAAAGGGCTATTTTGTTGTTTTACGGGTGTGTGTTTTAGTTACTTCCTTTTGTGATAAAACAGCCAACAGAAGCAACATAAGGAAGTGTTTATTTTAGCTCACGGCTTGAAGTCCACCTCGCAGTCCACCTTGGTGAGGGAAGTCGTGGCAGTAGGAACTGAGGTAGCTGGTCACATTGACTCTGCAGTCAGGAAGCTGGGATGGGAAAGCTGCTGCTCCCCTTGCTTTCTCCTTTTTTATTCAGTCTGGAATCCTAGGCTATGGGGATAGTGCCATCCTCAGGGAGGGTGGGTCTTCCCACTCCTGCCCAAGAAACTTCTTCATAGACATGCCCAGAGGTCTCCTAGGTCACAGTGGGTTTCAGCCACTGGGTCCAAATTCAGAAGCCTACAGGAGCTAGCTAGGTGGTAACGAATTCTCCCCAGGTACCTGCCCTGAGGAGATTTCTCCCAGGGTCCAGAACAGAAGCTACAAGTGGCTAGGATTCTAATCTGAGGGATATTCAATGAATCTAAGCTCACTGAGTTCTTTAGTCCATCCACTTTATTCTTTTAAATCAATTCTATCTACACAGCTTCTTTTCTGTTCTCATACTTAGCTCCTCTAAGTATGTTCTCTCATATCTATCTAGTTCTTTCCATCTTTGTCCTCATCTTGGTTCTTCTAAATCCATTCCTCTAGTGCTGTGGAGGAACCAGTATATATAGACAAGCAGTAATTCTTTGGCAAAGCAATATGAGGCTTGAAGTTTCAGGGTCACAGGGAGAAGTGATAAGGATCCACACATAAATCAATAATTGTCAGCTTCCAATTACAACCCAAAAGGGGGATGAATTTGCACAAGAAACAAAGCCTGGCACCTATCCTCTGCTTGGCCTTGTCAGAAATCTCCTTTGGTCAGTGGAAAATAATTACCTTAACTCAGTAACTAGCAAGTGGCTAAAACATCATCCCAGAAATGTGAGCAGTAAATCTCTTAAATTAGGGTCTTGTGTAAATAACCTGAGGTGAAAGTAAAGAGTTGAGGATTTAATTGTTAGTGGTTATTTTCTCTTATCTGTAAGTGAGATGAGTTAATTCTTATGTGCAGCTTGTCCTTGGATAAAAAGGTATCTTTGTTGAAATACTTTTGTCGGGACAATGGCCCTGGTCAGATGTAAGCGAATGAAGAATAAACACAGCTGGGGAAATTTATCCAATTACCCCAAATATATAAGGAGAGTTGTGCCCAGTTAATGATCAATCACACTGTTATAAGTCCTTGAAGGAAAAGCCAAATGGGGGAAACTCCAATAGCACACAAGAAATTCATTGCAGGATACAGCTAATCCATTCAAAAGCAAACATCACCAAGACTCCTTAAGTCTTGGTTTTGCTCTGGAAAAGTCCACAACTTTTTCCAGGTAATCGTTTTGCCAATATCAGCTGAATTCCTACTTTATAATTCTGTGGCTGGCAGCAAGGTAGAATAAATGAGTGAAGTAAGCTATGTATAACAGAATATGTACAATGGTAAGATGGGTCAGTGGAGAGTTGGGATGGTTCTGCCCCACCCAGAGATGCCATGACTTGTTCCAGTGTTGAAACACAGAACTATGGCTTGTTTTTCATGCATTCTATCAATTTTTTAATGTTGACATGTGACTGGTAGATTATATTTTAAAATTCTGTCCAGGCTAAAGGAAACAGCACATTTGTGGATTGGCTATGGCTTCTGGTTTGGACCTTACCCTCTACTTTGTTTTTTTTGATGAAAAATAGTCATTTTTTTGAGTTACTAATGGCAGGTTTACTGATCCATGGGTTTTGTTTGTTTTTGGTCTGTTTGGGTTTTTTGAGACAGGGTTTCTTTGTATATCTCTGGTTGTCCTGGAACTCACTCTGTAGACCAGGCTGGCCTCGAACTCACAGAGATCCGCCTGCCTCTACCTCCCGAGTCCTGGGATTAAAGGTGTGTGCCACCACTGCCCAGCTTGATCTGTGGCTTTTTAAAATGTTGAATCTAATAGAAACTTTTTATTCAAAAAATGATAATGACATTGCTTCAAGGTTCTTCTTTTCCTACAGGAAGCCTGCTGTGTGGGTCTGGAGGCTGGCATAAACCCCACCGACCATCTCATCACAGCCTATCGAGCGCATGGCTTCACCTTCACTCGGGGCCTGTCTGTCCGAGCAATTCTTGCAGAGCTAACAGGTTTGCTGTGGATACACATAGAGGGATAGTGAGTGGAGGAAGTTTTCAAATATCTCCCATTAAGTTGCTAAGCATTTAGAGTTAGTAGTAAAAAAACAAAAACAAAAACAAAACCTTAGAAGTTTTTTTATTTTTTGGTTTTTCGAGTCAGGGTTTCTCCGTGTAGTTTTGGTGCCTGTCCTAGATCTCACTCTGTAGACCACCAGGCTGGCCTTGAACTCACAGAGATCCATCTGCTCTGCCTCCTGTGTGCTAGGATTAAAGGCGTGCACCACTGCCGCCCATTTTAGGAGTTTTGTTTTTGAAATATAAGCCTTCTGGTGTGTATCCTAGGACCTTTATTGTGCCTTTGAGTCAGTCATTTATGAGGTCATCAGGCCCCTCAGGTGAAATTGGAAAAGCATAGCCCTGTCCAGTGGGAATAAGGTTTGCTCTCACTAAACCATGAGAAATCTAGCAGAGAAAGTAAATTGGGTTGAAGTACTTTGTGAAATGTAGGCAGATTCTAGACCATCTGTTCAATATTCCTCTTTTCTGCTACCTTTTTGAACCTTATATTTAGTGTGCCAGTATAGAAGTCAGGTGTCTGTACTCCTCTGAACCCAGTGTCAAAGATACTGTGCTAACCTCCGAAGGTAAGTAAGTGATAGAAGTCAGGTGTGTGTACTCCCTCTGAACCCGGTGTCAAAGATAGTGTGCTAACCTCCGAAGGTAAGTACGTGATTAGAGAGCAGGCACCATTGGGTTAGTCTAGCCTTCTTATCACAGACAGGGAGATGAGGAGGAGTGTTTTCCTGAGGGACAGGTGCTTAGACAATTGTGTGGTGGTTACTGCTTTATGTGGTTGGTTTTTCATGCGTGGGTGTGTGTGTTGCCTTTTCTAGGAAGAAGAGGAGGTTGTGCTAAAGGGAAAGGCGGATCGATGCACATGTACGCCAAGAACTTCTACGGGGGCAATGGCATCGTTGGAGCTCAGGTAGTTGAGGAAGAGTGCGTGCATTAGTATATTTGGTCCTGGCCTGTATCTTCAGGACCTTCTTCACCCTAGAGAACTCCTCTGAAGGAGTTCAATAATTTGGGAGTTTGGTTTGTCTTTACTTACCGCTTCTTAGCTTACCATTTGAATGATTAGTAAGTAGATGTGGGCAGTGATTGAAAGTTGGTTGGTTTTGGTGTGTTTTATGAGTAACAGCCTACAGCAGTGGGGCTAGCTGTCCCTTCACCTTTCTTTTTATGTTTCAGTCAAACTAATGGCTCATCACCTCACTTCACTCTGACCTTCTCATAGGCAGAGCTAGCACTGGGGCCCAATTACAAGAGAGGGGCTTGTTAAATTGGCAGCCTAATAAAACATCAGGAGCCTTACTTTCATCAATAGGAAGTCCTCATTCCCCTCAATTAATGAGAAGTGAAACATAACAGCATGCACCAATGTCCACTACAGTAGGTTTCCATTATATATAGTATATATCTAGGTTTCATTTTTTACCTTGTTGGGTGGAGAAATGTGAACTAATATAGGATTTACTCGTTTTGTTGCAAATAACAGGTTAGGTGGATGGTGAGAGGATGGGAATGAAGACTCGAAGCACTGGTTTAGCTTCCCAGATTCTCTCCAGGAATTGGAATTGAAAGGCATTTTCACTCTGATTAATTTCTACAGTTCCTTTCTTGCTTGTTCTTCATGTTAGGTGCCCCTGGGAGCAGGGATTGCTCTGGCCTGCAAGTATAATGGAAAAGATGAGGTCTGTTTGACTTTATATGGTGATGGTGCTGCTAATCAGGTAAGTGCACCTCTTAATTTCTAACAACAATGACTTTTACTTCCAAGTTGTGACTGGTCATATTTGGATTTACAAAGAAATGGCATATTGTTTATTAACTGAAATAGCATGATGTGGCTGACTCATGGGAGATTTACCTTTTGGCATGGGTTACCAGAGCCTTCTAGGGGTACATTTCTGTGAGGAAGCGCCTCTTTGCTTTATATTGGTGCTTTGCAAATATGCTCTGTGGTGGAAGGTTTGGTTTTTTTTCGAGACAGGGTTTCTCTGTGTAGCTTTGCACCTTTCCTGGAACTCATTTTGTAGACCAGGCTGGCTTCGAACTCACAGAGATCTGCCTGCCTCTGCCTCCCGAATGGGAAGATTTTTTAAAATTTATTTTTAAAAAATATTGATTTCTAGTTTTGCCTGCATGTATGTTTGTGTACTGCAGATGTGCCTAGTGCCAATGGAGGTCAGAAGGTCCCCTGGAACTGGGGTTAAGGATAGTTGTGAGCTGCCATGTGGGTGCTGGGAACTGAACTTGGGTCCTCTACAAGAGCAGCATGTGCTCTCAACAGCTGAGCCGTAGGCCCAGCCAGCGTCACTTGTTAAATGTGTAGCCCATTACAAATCAATAGTGTGATACAGAGACTCTTACTTTCTTGGACTCCAGGGCAATGTCAGATTCCCATCATGTCTGAACCTTGGCTCTTGGTTTCTTTGCTCATCCTGTCTTGGTCTCAGTAATCACTAGTCTCTGGAAGGCACTCAGTGAGACCCTCTGGTAGATGCTGAATCTCAGATGCTGCTGGTTCACTCTGATTATCTGGTCAAGTGAGTGTAACAGATTAATAGCAGAGTGTAAAACCAACTGGTAGCTGAGTGCTTTTCCATGTTCCTCTTGGCAGTGTGTTCTATATTAGTAGAAGCCCCCAAATGTATACTAGTCGTACAATACCCTCCACATTTCCTTACCACAGCCAGCACATGCTCCTTTCCCTCACCACCAGAAACATGTTATAAAGATGAGGCTGTTTGGCCCTTGTGTAAGCTTTTTGTGTTAGGAAGAGCAACAACTGTTAGGAATGGTGAAAAAGTCTAGAGAGATGAGCAAATTAAACCACTCAAACATTTCATATAATACTTTCAGGGTCAAATATTTGAAGCTTACAATATGGCAGCATTGTGGAAATTACCTTGTATTTTCATCTGTGAAAATAACCGCTATGGCATGGGGACATCTGTTGAGAGAGCAGCGGCCAGCACAGATTACTACAAAAGAGGAGATTTTATTCCTGGACTGAGGGTAAGGTTCCTTATTGTAGAGACAGAACCATACCCTGTCAGCTAGATGCTCTACAGTTTCATCACATTATGCCTGAATAGGTCATTAAAAGTTGAATGGGAGGGCAGGAGGTGTGGCTCAGTGGCTGAGCACTTACTTGCCTACTGTGTGGGAGGCCCTGGATTCCATTCATGAGCACCACAATAAAAGTGAAATGGATTTGGACAGTTTATTTACATTCTGCCCCTCCCACCTTTATTAACAGGTAGATGGAATGGATATCTTGTGTGTCCGAGAGGCAACAAAGTTTGCAGCTGCCTATTGTAGGTCTGGTAAGGTAAGATGAGTTTGTTTTTTCATAGGCTTTTAGGTTAGAGGTTTATAATGACATTTATTTCAAAATTAAAGCCTTTTGGAGATATCCTGGGGTAATGACTAAATGAGCTCTCTATGACAAGCAGAGTCCAGTGAGGTAGCATGACCTTGGCTCATCTGGTAAACATTCCCCATTTCTCTATTCTTGTGTTTCCTTGGTATTTTTGCCTGTCTTCGCTTTGACATCCATTTGACAAGCTGTTTTGTCTTTTGGTTAGTTTAATTATATGTTCCCATCCCTCTGTTAATCATAAGCCCCTTGAATGATCAAACTTAGAATCCCCACAATGCCTGATTTTGCTTATATAATAGGCATTCAAGTGCAGTCTATCGTGCTGCTTTACCTGGCAGTATATGGCAGTGAGGGAGAGGGAAACAGTGAAGCTGGCTTAAAAGGAGGTTCAAGGAGCTAAGTTTAACTAGTTGTTTTAAGCCCAGAAAACATGCCCCTGCAGTTTACTTTTGGTAAAATTGAGAAGGATGAAACATGATATAAGTAGGTATTAAGAATCAGTCTGGGTGGTGGTGGCACATGCCTTTAATCCCAGCACTGGAGGTAGCAGAGGCAGGGGATCTCTGTGAGTTCAAGGCCAGCCTGGACTATAGAGTGAGTTCCAGGACAGCCAGAGCTGATACCCGGAGAAACTCTGTCTTGAAAAACAAAACAAAACCCCACCTCAACCAGTAAACTCTTGACAACTCAGCTGAATGTATAGAAGATGGATAAGAATGTACTGGAGCCAGGCGGCGGTAGCACATGCCTTTAATCCCAGCACTCGGGAGGCAGAGCCAGGCAGATCTCTGTGAGTTTGAGATCTCAGTCTACAGAGCGAGATCCAGGACAGGTACCAAAACTACACAGAGAAACTCTGTGTATTGGATGTTGTGGGGATCTCCATTTGAGGCAACAGTTCTTGGCACACATCCCCATAGTCTTAACGATTTATGGGTCTGTTTTAGGGGCCCATCCTGATGGAACTACAGACTTATCGTTACCATGGACATAGTATGAGTGACCCTGGAGTCAGGTAAAATCATGGGGTATCTGAGTGTGGTTCCCATGGTGGGTGGGCAGGCTTTGGGATACTTAAAGAAAATGGTAGAGTACATTATCATTGGCTGTTACAACCAGATACAATTGTTTCATCGGCATCAAGGTGGTTGTTTTGAGTCTTAGTCTGAAAGCCGCCTGAAGATCCCTACAATATATGTATCCTTATGTGTTAGCATGAGCAGTAATTTTAAAAAGAGCATTATGTAACTAAATTGCAGTGTAGAACTACCAATGTAAGGCAGGTCTGATAAGAGATTTTGGGGGTGATTTCGTTTATGTGAGAATTACCCCAAATTCAGGCATGGCATATTCTACCTGAAGAGGACTAGATTTGAAAATCTCACTGGTAGGGAACAAGGCTAACTGCTACATGGAGAGTTTAAGATGTCCCTTTTCCACTTAGCTCTAGCATGTAATTATGAATTAGCAGGCTTGAACAGTTAAAAGTAGTGAGTTTAGTCAAAGTTCAGCCCTTGTAGAATGGAGTAAGGCAGCGGTTCTCAACTTGTTGGTCACAACAACCCTTTCACAGGGGTTACATACCAGATAGTTAATTATGATTCATAACAGTAGCAAAGTGACAATTATGAAGTAGTCATGAAAATAATGTTATGGTTGGAGGTCACCACAGCATGAGGAACTGTACTAAAGGGTCGCAGCGTTAGGAAGGTTGAGAACCACTGGACTACGGGAAACAGAACAAATTATGTGGGAAGTGGATTTTGTGTAGTAACTGTCCCATCATATAGAACCCTTAAGTTTTTTCAAGTACAGTATAGGGAACAGTAATCAGAAACCTGGTGTGTTTAGGGATTTGCTGGCCATGCTGCTTTGGGGTCTTAGTAAGAAAGGCAAGGTGTAGATTTCCTGCTTGGTCTGATGCTTCAAAGCCTATAATTATCACCACTGCCAGCTCTCCCTTGCCCCATCCATGCAACAACTTGAGGTTAAAGGGGTAGAACCTGTGACCCTTTCTTCCCGATCAAAGAAGCAAATAAAAACTTGGCCCTTGTCAGAATACCAGTGAATCCCCAAGTTACAGTAAATAACTTTCTATAAAAGATGGCCAATAGCCCGCCACCCCTACTAACTATTCCCACAACGACATGAGTATTAGCTTGTTCCTCTCTTTCAAAAATATACTACTATACTTCACTAAGCTGTCGGTGCACAGGCACTGTTCTTATGGGTCTGTCACTGCACCTCCCTTCTCTATAGTTACCGCACTCGAGAAGAAATCCAGGAAGTAAGAAGTAAGAGCGACCCTATTATGCTTCTTAAGGATAGGATGGTGAACAGCAATCTTGCGAGTGTTGAAGAATTAAAGGTACAGTTGCTCTTGGCAGTTTAAGTCTGGTATTGAAGGTAGGTTCTCTGACCAGTTTCCCACACCTCGCAAAGTGCCACTCCCAGGAGGCCAGAGAGGTGAGTTTTTCCAAACTCAGAGAGCATTCTGATAAGGGGCTATTGTTGAATCTGAAGTCTCACAGGGCTATTGTTTTTTTGGTCTTGCTGCTGAGAAGAGTTGCAGGGCAAGGGATATGATATGGCTTAGTTGGTAAAAATGCTTGCTGTATAAGTAAGGACTGGGGATCTGAGTCTACATTCCAAACCCCCACATAAAATGGGCACAGTGGTGCATGTGGACAACCCTGGCTCTGGGTAGAGGTGGAGACAGATTCTTTGAGTGTGCTGCCCAACTGAGCTCTGTGCTCAGTAGTAGATATCCTGTCTCAAAAAATAAGGTGGAAAATAGGAGATGACAATCTGATACCAACCTCTGGCCTCTCAGAATTAAAGAGTTGAAAGGTAGGTCACTGCCTCAGACTAAGCACATTTGTACAAAAACTATTTCCCCCTTTGTTTCTAAAAATATCCTTTGCATTGTAATCCATACACTGTCTTTAAGTGTTGAAGAGTTACATATAATAGTAACAGGTTCTCATGCATTGTAATCTGGTGTTTAGGAGATTGATGTGGAAGTGAGGAAAGAAATCGAGGATGCTGCCCAGTTTGCTACAGCTGATCCAGAGCCACCCTTGGAGGAACTAGGCTATCACATCTACAGCAGTGATCCTCCCTTTGAAGTGCGTGGTGCCAACCAGTGGATCAAGTTTAAGTCAGTCAGTTAATGGGTAACTGTGAAATGGATGCTCATCTTACTGCTCATCATCCACTGTAAGAACTCTGTGCTTTCAACTTTAAGGACATGAAATACCCAGACAAAAAGTCTTGAAAACATGTAAATTAAGGAAGAATAAGTTGCATGCAGTTTATACGTTGTTGTGTGCAGTGTATCCATGTGAATAAGAGTGTATTGGATTTGTATAGAATTTGAAATGGGTAATGCAGAGTTTATAACTTCCCCTCATCATATCCTACACCAGTTACTAAAAGGAACAACTCTGCCATTTTCTGTAGTGTGAGGCATGCTGGGATTAATGCAATGCACAGGTAGAGTGGCAGCCACCCTGCATTGTGGAGGCTGACGTCTGTTGGCAAAGGCTCTATATAATCATGTATTTTAAAATAAAGCTACTTCAAAGGTAAAATAATTTAATTTTCTCCATTTAGACATTTAACAAACATGAACTTGTACTCCCATTGCAAGGCACACTTTTTTCCTTTCACATTTAAGTATTATGCTTTATCTTTCCAGCAGTTGCTATAAGGTATGCTGACTTTTTAAATGACATATAATCCTAAGAATTTAATATACTAGATCATGGTTGATGTTACATACAATCCTGTTTATAAACAAGGATGGTCTAAATTTATACGTGCTTGGATTAAATGGACAAGGGTCCTTCTGTGTAAAGGCAGGATTTGTGTGTACACGAACAGAAGCTTGGACCATAAGTAGGCAGGATATTTGCTTATTCCTTCAGCTTGGTTCAGTGTGAGGACTCCTGCGTTTGTCTTCTGTGCTGGGAGACTGCATGCCAGAGCCTACAGAGGACACCACCGCTGCAAAACAGGAGTTTCCATAAGAAAAGCACACTTCAAAACAGCAACCTCCCAAGCAGGAGAAGCAGGCATCTGACCTACAGGATTACATTTGCCAGCTACTCTTTCCAATATAATCTCTAACTTATTCAAATGTGTTGTCTTTGTCTGGACCTGGTGCCATAGGAGTGTTGGTGGCTCTGTGTAGAGGTGTGGGCATTTTAAACAAGAGTGAAAAGATAATTTCATTAAGATCGGAGGAAGCTACCAGCATTTTGTTTTTGTACTTCATTTAAAAATATTCACTAAGACCTGTTATTCAAACCATTTGGAAGCTCTTACCGTAGTCTGAGGCACCTTAGGTCTTCCTTAGTAATGTTGTTGAGAATATCAGAAAGTGTATAATCCTCTTCAACAATCTGAAACAGTGATTCAGTGTATGAGATAAGCAGCTTTTCAGCAGTATCATAGGAATACTTTGATTTAGAATTTACCTTTTCTATTGTATTTGCATCCACTCCTTGTAGTTGCAACCAGTCTATAAGTTCTCTGTCTGTCCCCAGTTCATCCGGGGGTGCCGGATTCTCCGTACCACCTAGAATGATTCCAGTTTTGTGTTATTGTATAGTAGTGTATAACCATAAACTGCTTCCAAAGTAACAAAGTGGATGTAAACACATATCCAAATAGAATGTAAATGTGATGTGAAAAGGAAATGAATTAAACTTTTTTGATTCAGCTACTTTTGTAATTCTTGGGTTCCCTTTCAAGAGAGTTATCTCTGTCTAGAGTAAGTTTGGAATTGGAGATATTGTCAGCCTCATTTATAATGCTTGTTCTCATCTTGAAAGTGTCTTAGCTTAGGCTGGTTATCCCTGATTACACTGAAACTCAAAGGAAAAGCTTGTGTTAGGATTTGGTAGCAGAGCTTATGTCCATTTCTTTATCCCAAGAGCTACTTTTATGCTCCAAGGGGCAGTATTCTAATTTAGGTATCCTTTTTGACACACAATTGTGGGATGACTACCACAGTCAAGATACTTTTTTGTTCCCCTGTCTTTTCTTAATCTCTGTGTTCTCCTCTACCCATTGTGATTTCTGTCCAGTTTTGCCTCTTCTGGAATACTGACTAGAATCAGTATACTATATGGTAACCTCAACCATTTCTTCAAGGTATAAATCAGATTTTTAGTTTGCCCTCTTTGACACCTACATCAGAGCAAAGGGAAAATGACTCACCATTGGATTTGTATTGTAACTGAAGGTGATGTAATTCTTGAGTTTTCTGTTCTAGAGTTAGCCGCAGAAGATTCTGGTACTCTCTCTCTTTTTGAACGAGGTGTTCCCAAAGTCTGTTTTTTAAAAAAAAAACAACCCCCCATCATTCATCAGGCATTGGAAAAACAAAGAAAAGGGCACAGTCCAAGTCCAAACTGTGGGGCCCCAAAGAGAAGCAAGTGGGGTGTTACTAAAGATTTTTCTCCAGTAGGTTTCAGCCTGTACACAACTGTGTTTTTCCTCTCAACACCAAAGACCCAATACTGAAAGTGTGGGTATATTTTTGCAATGAAGTCAGTGATTGTGTCCCTCTTGAAATTCCTGTTAAAATGGTAGTAAGAGGCCTTGGGAAATTAGTGCCTTGTCACCATTTGAGGACATGGGAGTGTACAGCTATCTATGCACCCTGAGTAGACACTGAATCTGCCACTACCTTGATCTTTGAAGTCTGCAGAGCTGTGAGAAAAAAAATTTGATTTATTAGAGCAGCCTCCTGTGGACTAAGACAGTTTTGTTTCAAAGTTTATCAGGAACCAAAAGTGAATTTCCTGTTGATCATTATAACGAGAAGGACCATCTGATTATTAAAACCAAGCTGGATAAAGTAGCTGAGTCTAGGATGGGCAGCCTTCTTTCTGCACTCCTTAGCAGCCAAAGCAAGAGTACTATTTCGGCAAGAACAGCCAGGGACCAAGGATGGACTGTACAAACTAACACCTAGGACTGCCCATAGTGCACTGAAACCTTAGAACAAACAATTCTTAGGAAGTAAACATTCTTTTCCAGGCACAGTTTCTTTAAGCAATTTATTCTGTCTCGGGGGTGGGGCCTTCCTCATCTTGTGACATATAGTCTTACTCATGGTCTCTTTGAGACATGAAAAGCAGGTCTGGGTACAGTTAAGCCCCAGGCTTCTGGATTTCCCCATGCTAGCTCATTAACAGGGATGGAACAGGGTTGAAAGTCAGAATCATGGCTGGCCTTTTTTGTTTGCTCATGTATCTAATAAATAAGATTATTTTAACCATATGGCATGCCCTTTTAATTAGTTTATCTGTACTGGTAAACAAAGGACTGTAGGACTAAGCTTTAAATTACTGGAATTCATTATTGATGTTGCCTGAGAGGGCATAGCCATAATATATATATATATATAAATGGATGAAAACAGTTTTGGGGTCATTTGGTAGCAAAATGGAGTGGAAGAGGTGAATAATTCTACCCCAGCAAGACTGCAAGGAGAAAATACTATTACTCAACAAGTAAAAATGTCCTTTCTCACCTCTACCCTGCCTGCCTTCAGCTTGAGCCTCTGTGGTTAACAGGAATGATTCCTATTTTTGTTTATGCCACACCATGAGGATGGGCAGGCTGTGTATTTATTAACTAGTCATATTAACACTGAGTTGGATGATTACAAATCTTTCTACAAAGACATTTTAAAGAAATGTTCAGTTTTGCTGCCAACTTTTTTATACTTGTCATTTTAAGACTGGAGTTTTTGCCATCATGATCATTTAAATTCAGGCCTTAAAAATATCTACATATACATCTTTTCATCCAAAAGCATGTGCCCACTACCTAATCTCCCCATTCAGACAGCACTGCCACAGGTAACAATGTGGCGTTTGGAACAAATACCAGCTAGTTTACTACAGCTGTGGATGATGTTTTTCAAAAGCTTATTGATTCTTCTTCAGAGCAAAGGGGAATTACGTTATTCACTTACAAGGTTGGAAAGGCAATCTACTAATGCCTGCCTAGGGATTCTAACAAGTGACCCGAAAGGCTTAAGGACAAGGCTACAGGATATGCCACTGTCTACAAATTGCTCTGCTGCCCCCACTGCTTCTGTGGGGCAGGCTACAGCTGTCCAGTGCTGGGTCACATGGCATTCCAGAGGCTCCATCGTGAAGACAAAACTCAGATGGTGTTGCTGCTTTTGGTATGTAAGATTTATGTGTGACCTGTGACGAGGCACTGTACTGATTCCTGACATTGAAAGAAAGGAAGCTTTTGTCTACTTCCTCTGCTGATGCTGTAAATGTACCCTTGCCCCAGTTAACTGACAGACAGTGAATATACATCCCCACTCCCCTGACCTGGATAAAATTCTCAACAGTGACCAGAAGATCTTTACAGGGTATGCGAGATCCTGACCTGTTGGTCTCTTGCCTGAGCTTGCTCAGTTGGAGACTTGGGTCCTGCTGGTGGGCCTGGCCCTCCTGAATAGCCACTGAGCCAGGTCTGGTACCTCTGGGTGTCACGCGTACTTCTTGGCCAAGCAGGTCTACTAAAGGATAGCCCCCTTCCACTTCTGTGTCTTTGTCTACCCCTTCAGTCTCAGAGGCAGGCTCAAAGTGGGCTTGGAGCTCTGTGAAAACACAGACCAAGGTACAGAATAGCACTCAACAAGGCAATTCAGTGCACTGCTTGTGTATGAGGGGACTACTGACTAAAGAGATGATTTGATTGGATTCTGCAGTGTAAATATAGTCTTTCTCAGTTTACACAAGAAGAAATGGACAATGGAAGTTGTAAAGGCCAGTTAGCCACGAATGTCTACAAACAGGCCTGTGCTCTGCTTCGTGCCTAGTCTAAGGAGCATTTGGGAGAGCAGGCAAAAGTGACTAGCAAGGGCCCAGTGTGAAGAAAGGAAGGGAGAGTAGCAACAATTCTAAAGCTTGCCTTCCTCAGCCAAAGTACCACAGGAGAAGCAACCCGAGAATTAAGCTTGTGCTAACATTTCAAAAAGGAAGCCTCTTAAGATTGGGCTGGGGGCACACAGCTCAGAGGTACAGCATGTACTTCAGAACACATAAGACCCTGAGTTTGTTCCCCAGAATGAACCATGCATGGACATGTATATATATATAAAGCAATATCTATAGCCATTGAAGGATGGTTCTAAGAAGAAACAGCCATGTAATTATCAACTATCTGATAAGCATGGGTGAGTATGCACGCCAGGAGGCTGTATAAGCACTGGAAGATCCC